TGATGCATGAAGAGCTTAACAACTGGTGGCAAATTTTCAATATTATGTCAGGTCCTCTAGAGATCCTCAAAGAGACACACTTAGAAACTTGTAGAGATAAAAAGTAATCTGTCATATTCGCAATCATATTTCATTGCTTCAGGGTCTCAGAATGCATGAGAAAAAGTTAATCAGAAAGGAAATAGTTATCTGATAAGGTCGTTTAATCCTTGGTACCTCAAAGTCTGAAATTCAAATCGATGATATTTTGACTCCGTCACGATTCGAAATCTCGGGTGATTTCAACTTACCTTGATCCAATTTTGCTTTTCATATTGAATATCCTATCACGCCCTCGTAAATCATATGAAGAGGAGCGGAGATGACAGGCATTTCTTAACTTTCTCCCTATATAGGCGAGCTATCGTAGCTATTGATTCCTTATTATACAGGTCATATCTTCGTTTCAAGAGATAATATAAGTTCTATTTGCTGGTATATTGTTGACTAAATGATTGATTACGTAGCGATAAAAGGTTGTTGCTGTAGGGGCGCAAAGTGAGAATCATATTGCCGGTAAGGCCCGGTATCCTTACCAAAGTGCAATGGCGTAGCGAGCTTGCAGTCATTTGAAGGGGTGGGCACTGATATCATACAGGGCCACCGGAAATAAGAGGTAATTGAAGATGATATTAGGTGATTAAAATGCAGGGCACATGGCTATAATTAATATTAAGGTCTAGGTAAGGGGGAATATAAAATGAAAAGGGGGAAATTCGAGGAGGGAATATGGAAGGGGTCGTATCATCTTATTTTCGCGTTGCCTTTCCCCCTCTCCATTCCTCTCTTACTCCTACCCTCCCTCCTTCTACCCCCTCCCTCTTAAATATTTCTCCCTCTCCCACTCTCTCGTTCTCTCTCTCTCTCTTTCTCTCTTTCTCTTTCTCTTTTTCTTCCACTTATATGTTGTATATTTCCTTCATATTTTCACAATTCGCTGGGGGGGGGGGGGGAGCCTCCAGTGCCCCACGTAGTTACGCCACTGCTAATATGTAGAAAACCATGCACGTATTTGACATGTGGTTTTGAATGTTGATGGATGATCAGATGGCCAATGGTTAAATATCTCTCGCGTCAGAGATCCCTAGACAATTCTTCCTTTTCTCGACCTGGGCAATAATCCTGTAATTTCATGTGTTTTAGCCTGAAGGGAACTCTGTTTATACCGTCCTCCTGTTAGATGTTTTCTTAGTTTCTCCATCAATGTAAGCCCTTAAATTATCTTTCTTTCTCGAACATATCCTCGAAACTATACTTTGATTTCCTAACGAGGTCCGAAGAATATTCCCTTGGTTACTGACTTCATGAATAGATTACGAAATAAACAAGATCATTTCAACATAAGGTACAATGTATAGAGGGTTGAGGAAATTTAGGTCGTTTTTGTCTCAAAATGGAGTTTAGAACCTTAAACGTTAAGCGATAATCCTTTGTATTGGCACATCATAATAATCTGTTTATCCTCAGGTATAATGAGGAAGACTTTTATTTGCAAATATACTTTGGAAGATATTTTTACATTCTCTAAAACTTTGCTGTGATTAAGTTTACTTTTAGAGATAGAAAGATGAAGACAAAATTAGTATAACGCAACATGACATTTATTTAAATCTTCAAAGTAGGCCTACAGCAAAACCGATTCTGAATACAGAAATTATGGAGAGAAATTTTATTTCACAAATAAGAAAATAACATTATCTGCATACATTCACAAGAAGAACAATACATTCAATTTCAAAGGTCGAGTTGGTTGTACGCGACCAACACAATTATGTTAACATTTCAAAAAATTGAAATACATTATTCTCTTGTAAATTTTCCGTTCTTACTTCCAACGCTGTCAGTATCTTGAAACTACTTGGTATAAACATAGCGAAATTGACTAGCCCCATTTGCTTAGCAACAAGGGGCATGGGGCACGTCCCCCCTCCCCTAGAGGTGAAAACAACAAAGTAAATAAATCGAGAAAAGTGAGAGAGGGAAAGGACGAAGGGGAAGGGTGAAAAAAGAAAACGCCTGGAACACACCCACACCCTCGCTCTAATCATTAGCCTTGTAAATTCCCTTTTCATTTTCTGACTTAGACCGGTGACATCCCCCATAGTTCCAGTACCCTTCTCAAGATGGACTCCCGCTACGCCGCTGGACCAACATATTCTCTATCTGTGACCTTGAATACCATATCGCTGTTCGACTCAGTTGGTACATGAAGTTGATCAACCACACGACTTGTATTCAAGCACCAATCTCATGTTTTCAAAATGAATGCGTGGGGGTGGTCTCGCTCCAAATCCAGGAAGTAAAATATGTATAGGGAATTCTGGCAGATGAAATCGTGCAGAAATCCGGATGTACACGGCATAAATCTTGTTACCTTTCGTGAATCAAGGCTCAAGTCATGAATTGCAAATGGAGGAATATTGCGATTTAACCGAAGGATGCTACTTGGTATTCAGAGGCACATTTGAGTAATGTATAACATAGATCCCCTAGCGTAAATTGGGTCAAGTCACTGGGCGAGTGAGGGGGGGGGGGGGGGTGCCAATCATTCACAATACCGATTGAATGGATTTATCGTCCATGTCTTCTCGTTACCCCCCCCCCCCTACCCCTCCTCCTCCCCTCCTCCTCTTCTCTCGCTGCCTTTGCCTCTCTATCCCCCCTCTCTCTCTTTTTCTTCCGTTCACCTTGTTTTTAATCACCTACAAGTTCATTTCTCATCACGATTTAAATTATTCCTGAACACGAAACTCTACCTACATACATAATTCTACCAAAATGTTATCACTGCTTATGCTTCCACAACGGAGTCAGTATTTGCATTTAGATTACTTTGTAAAGTCGGAAGTGTGAACAAGATCATCTTGAACTTGATATCTCGATGTGATGTAAATTATAGACGCTTGCCTGACCAACGGTTACCGTCATCCCTATGAATCAAGTACGTAGAATTGGAGTAGGTCAAGCGAGATGACTTTTCTCCGCTGAAGCTGTTTTTTTTTTATTGATTTATTGACAATTTGAGATATTGATGTCTTCGTTTGTCACGCTGCGTGATTGACACGAGCAAAGGCCGACGTGAAATCAAGACCATGAAGTGACAATCTAGTTTTCGCGGTCGTGGTATTAAAGGTACGGTTTAACAATGTTAAATCTAAGATTGCATGGCCCTATGTGTTATCAGTGGCTGTGATATGGTGGAATATTGAAGCCCTAAAATAATTGCGCTTCAAAACGATCATGAAGTGCCTCAAAAAAGTAAAACTCTTTGAGTGGCCGATTGAACCATATTCATTTTCCCCAGTAGACTGTTAGTGTTATACAAACCGTTAGGAAAAACGAATTTTTTAGAGTTCGATTTCCAATCATAAATATCTTGATAACCAGACAGGCGAGATGGGCGTGTAAAAGTCATGGTTTCCTGACTGACCTAAAGGTTTATAATTATCATTGCAGAGTGAGCTAAATCCCAGATTTTGTTTCAGAATCTGAGACAAAGTTACCCAATCACTTTAAAGGGAAAAAACACTCATAGGATATGACAAAAGCGCTAACGTTTAAGGTTGCTTTTACAGTCATTAGTGGAGGAAATATTTCAAATAGTGCCTTACAGTGTGAACTGGAAACAACCTTAACGAATCAGGAAGTAACTGACTTTGAAAGAAACCGATGAGTTTGTTACAAAACCAACCTTGGCAGGGATGTGTCCTTACCGTAACAGTACGAAAATATTTATCCTTGACTAATTGCGTTATAGGCTCCTATAATGCTCTGTAATTGCTTTTTAAGATGATATTTTAAAGATATTCAACTCTAGTTAGAACGGTATTGCGTTAGTCACAGATTCTCAATTTTCTTGCAGGGGGGTTGCATTTTGACAGTTTATGCCTCCACTGACCCATGTGTCATTGCATGTTATTTTTTAATATTTGTTTAAAGTATACACTCATATTATTTGAATATCTCTGTTTTTGGCTTCTTTTTAATTTAAAATGCCTCATGTTCGTGCCGTTAATGTACACTGTCGCTCATATAGGTGGAATATTTTTGTTTTACCCCAATTTATGGAATTATTTTAAAAATAATTAAAAAATAATAGATCTAGATAATAGTATACATACTCAGATTTTATTGAATAATAATTTGCCAATGTGTGTTTTGAGTGACTGCTAAAGCATGTGTATGCTACTATGCTTATCAGCTAGGGGACCTGCGCCCTCAAGTCATAAATGACAGTAATGAGGATTAATGCCCCACAAAAGGGCACTAATATAGCACGTCGACACGGTTTTGATCCTGGGGCCTCACAGTTACGAGGCCATTGCTTTGTCACTGAACCATGAATGTACGTAGCGGGGGATAGGGTAGGGGGCAGTTTCCATAAATTAAAAAAAAACACAGAAAATGCAATAAATTTTCAATAATTTATTGCATTTTAACCCGGTCCCCAACATAAACAATTCCTCTGGAAGGCCATGCGTTACGGGTCAAGGCATGGGCACACAGAGGATTTTTTTATGTTGGGGACCGGGGTAAAATGCAATAAATTATTGAAAATTTATTGCATTTTCTGTGTTTTTTTTTATTTATGGAAACTGCCCCCTACCCTAGCCCCCGCTGCGTACAGTCATGATTCAGTGACAAAGCAATGGCCTCGTAACTGTGAGGCCCCAGGATCAAAACCATGTCGATGTGCTATATTAGTGCCCGTTTGTGGGGGCATTTAACCTCATTACTGTCATTTATGCCTTAAGGGCGTAGATCCTCTAGTTGATAAGCATAGTAGCATACACATGCTTTAGCATTTTAAATTTTTTTTTTTTAAATAATTCCATAAATTGGGGTAAAACAAAAATATTCCAACTTTATGAGCGACAGTGTATGAAGTCGTGTTGTCCATTGATTTTCAGGACCCAACCCGGCCATTGATTAGGAGAGTGTGGCCAACCCGGTTCAAATTGGGCACAGTAGGTCGAATACTGCTTATAGTAGGCAAGCACACAAGAAAAGAATATGCGAATTACCCAAGTTGGCCAAACTATGTGTGTATAGATGGCTCTGGTGCATGAGGACAAAAATAGGACGCCCTCTTGATAACAGCGTTACTCTTCAAATCTGAAACCTGAATCCTAATTTCCTATTACCGCTCCACTCAAGACCATCGTGTCACTTTTGTATCACATCCTGCCCTGTTCCTCGCCAGGCGTTGTATTTAGTTCAAATACCTCGTCCAAGGATTTAAACCTCGGAACATCTCCCTTAAAAGCATTTCGGATAATCGGACGTTGGATATAAAGTCATTCTTTGGTTCGTGTTGTTCTGTTTATTGCAGGTTAACATGCACCCCGTCATTGTGGATGGAGGAAGTTTCAGTATACTTTCATTGAGACTAAAAGCGTCCATTAATCGATGCTTGCTTTGGATTTAATTCAACGTTGGAGGAATGTCGCATGGTATTCATTAGAACGACCGGTGAGTAACTTAGGTTCTATCACCTACAAAGCGAGGCTAATGTATAACGAAAGGGAAGTTGACATTTTGTTAGGGCAGCATTAATGAACGGTAAACTCTGAGGTGGAGTTTTTAATGTTGGTTATAGTGTGGTACGGTATGTCACTGAAACAGCTCCACTAGGATTTTAGTGCCAAAGTTAATTTTTTTTTTTTTTTTTTTTGCATTTTTGGATTTATTGGGGTCCAAGCTATCAGAAATTGATGGGGTTCAAATTTTCCCGAAGACACCAAATTTCCCTATTGCGCGTTATATATGCCATTTTGGCGTCCAATATGGACCCCCAAGGAACTGAAGGAGGGGTCTGAAATTTGAACCCTATCATTTTTGGCCAATGGGACACCTTTTAAGCCAAAACAGCACAAACAACAGAATCAACTCTGGCAAGGAAATCCTACGGGGTTACATACCATACCGCACTATTAATATAGTACGCACATGTTTCGAGAGTAAATTTGTCTAGAGCGAACCGATTCGAGCTTGATTCCCGAAAGGGGGCATAATTTCTAAAGGGCATGTAACCCCCCTCCCCCCACGATCTATGTATGACGGATATTTAAAAATGGATTATACCAAATTGTCTTATAATGAATTATCCACATTTTCTTTATAATAAAATTAATTTCTGTTTGACTTTACATTAAGCGAAATTCCAACTGAATATGGAAAATGGTACTCTCACATCACGTACATCAAACGTCCATCGACATTTTGTAAATCATTGTTAAATATATTCTCGATACATTTGAATGTAAAATGTGTAAATCATCTGACTTCCTTATATATACATTGCGAATAAAAATAAGTTTACCCTACTTTAGAAGCTTGTAATAAAAAATGTTATAATTTATGTGACCTTGAATCATATATCATGTCTAATGATATAGTACTTTATTCATAATTGTCCTGCAACGGATGACTGACCAGCAGGCTTTTCAAAAAATATTGTCAAAATCCTCTTGTACCAAGTTTGGGCTGAAGCAATGAATGTAGGTCAAAAAGCATTATGTTTGTGCTATCTCATTCCAAAAACAATTGCTCACTTATATTCATTGATTTTTAGGCAGTTGAAAAGAAGAGTAAGGTTGTTAATATCAACTCAAACTCAAGGAAATGCCAATTACAAGCAAATTTTATGATATTCTCTTCGTTGTGATGACTACAATTATGACTTCATTCTTACCCCTTGTTCACGGTAACCCTTCTCATTGAGTGATACACAATTGATAACATGTATCTAAGATGTTCTCTCTTTGTGAAAGCCTACTGTCAATTTATTTTATGCTTATCATCATATGTGTTCTTTCTTGCATTTCTGTTTAGTTACCTTTGAGTTTTCATTCACTATTCGAGATAAACACCTAATGCTCCTTACGCATATGAAATGGCGCAGCGGACAAGTGAGCAGAGAGAACTTAGATATCTTGAGACAAGCAATTAGTAGACTGTTCAAAATAATTAAAGATTATCCTATGGATTGAAACGAGGTTCAGTGAAATCCTAGATAATTATGTTGCATCATTTTAAACAATGAAGCACTGAAGCACGAGGCAAAACACGAGGCAAAATTGAACTTTTAAAAGGATTTAAGACCAAAGAAGCACACGCATATGGCCTGACCCACATTCGTTCCATCAGCCCAAACTTGGTATATACAAGGCGATTTTGACAACACTTTTTAAAGCCTGTGGTGCTTAGTCACCCGTCTCATAAATAATATGAATTGGGTTTCATTGGACAGAGAACCAATTACTCTTCATCATGAAATAAATTTTTAAGTCATATTGGTTACGAATTTGTAATTAGGAGCTACCAAATTTGGGTACACTCTTTTTTGATACGCACTGTTTATATATATATATATTTGTTCGTCATGACCGTTCATCTGATTATATAGTTGCATATTATAAAGCTAAAACGTGAATTTCCATTAGCGCACACGGACTGTATTTTTGGCCAAATTGTACTAATTTTGAATCGTTTGAAATAATTTACAATACATACGTCTTCGAGAATACGTAAACTACTTCTATAATTTTAGTTTATTTAGAATTTGAAAATGATTTTGTTTTCTTTCTTCTGCTTCTTCATTAGCCTACTTATTCTAATTTATTGTACCTGGATCTTAGTCACACTCGTTCAAACTTCAGCTCCATTGCTATTATTAATTTATACTCCCATGGCCCATTTGTCCTTTAAACAATTTGTCACTTTGAACTTCGGTCGACCTTTTTCATCCTAACACAGCCAGTAGCGTTGTGCTAATCAAATGCTTTCCGTTTGCTGTCGGTTTAGCCTCAGAATATGAATACCATCCAACCGAGGGTCAAATAAAGTTGATGTTTTTCGTGATTTTTATTAGGGAGTGTGTATGATTCATGCGCATGCACTCCACCCTGTCCGCCCAATTGTTGAACCCCAGTCATGCAGCAGTGTCCTTATATCTCAACAACAAATATCAAAATCAAGTTCCAGTTACACTATTCAAAATTGCTGAAATTTTTTTGGGTCTTTTTAAACGTAATTGCTGTGCAAGAGGGCCCAGGGCGACAAGAGACCAAGTAATAGTTATAATAATAATAATTACAAAATTTGTCCGAAAAAAATGTCGATTTCGAACCGCTTACGGAAGTATATTTTTCTTCTTGTTGCTTAAAAAAAAAATCTGTGTCACTGAGCTTCTAAAAGCTCCGGAAATACATCAATCAATCTCGGAGGCCTACATCTAAAGCAAGAATCATTTATCTTATACTCTCTATTATTGTTATGTGTTTATTACCAGATAATAAATTTCAAGTTCAAGTTCAAGTTCAAGTTTAATTACATGTCAAATAATAACCTTTAAATACCCATTCATATTGACTTTAAGAGTGGTCATCCTCGTGTTTTGCACGTCGGTACTCCATACTATCGTGGACATCACCTTCTTAAATGCATTACTCCACAACTCGTCAAATTTGCCACTATGATCGGGGTCATCTTCTTTCCCATGGGATTTATAAGAACCTTATCAAATGCCGACTTGTCTCTCGAAATATCTCGAGTTTTAAACACTTCTTTTTAAATCGGAACATGATACGCGTGAAACTCCGATTCCATATTTTACCCGATTATCCGGTGTCAGCGGAGAAATTGGAGACGGTCGGCTACGTTCTCACTCTAAGATTATTTCCAATGATTGCCCCTTTTGGGGGGAAGGATTTAACCGCGATCCATATTTCATGAGCGCAGTTTACAGGTCGTTTGGTGTCATAATTATTACATTAGAAACGTCGTTGATTGTCATAATTTATTGATGGCGTTCTTAAACCCCTTGAAGTATTTATCTGGCGCCCCCAGGCTCATCCTTAACCCGAAGAGGACTGTCTTCCGTCCAATCACATCTTAATCATAGCAATAAACATAAGTTTGGAATTTTGTCAGGACTATGATACATAGATTATAGTTATGTGAACAAGCCTAGATGATGTAATCATGGTTTAATGGCGCAGGTATTGATTCAACATTGAACTATTCACACTGTTCACACACCAAGCGAATCATGAACAGGATGATGATGTTGTTGATTATGATGATGACGACGACGATGATAATGTTGATGTTGAGGATGATGGTGATGATGTGGATGATGATGATGATGTTGTTGATGATGATGATGATGATGATGATGATGAGGTTGATGTTGATGATGATGATAATGATGATGTTGATATCGATGATGATGATGATGATGATGATGTTGTTGATAATGATGATGATGACGATGACGATGATGATGACGACGACGACGATGATGATGATGACTATGATGATGATGATGTTGATGATGAGGAAGAGAGATAGATAAAATAGAGAGACCATGAGATAGAGATGAATAAAAATAACAAATTATAGGTAGAATGCTAGAAAGAAAACATGCGAGGGTGAGCGAGAGGACGAAACTGTGACACTGATGCATAGTACAAGGTTGGGTCATCGCTATGTTTTGTACAATCAGATTTATAGAAGAGGCAAGGAGTCACTGGCATAGGGAAAGTATGAGCCTTCACTATAAAATTATGGTTTCATTGGCAACCGATACAAATATAACCTTACAAAGTGAAAACATGACAGGGGAATGATATACGTGAGAAATCTAAGAATATCTTTTGTTTTTATTGCTATTTTTTTTCTTCTGAAGTAAAACATATTTTGTAACTGGAGATCATAAAGTTGGCACCTTGCTGTTTTGTGGGGGCGTACTCTAGCAGGAAGTCTGATCTTGGAAATGAAATATCATGGCAATCTTAGTTATTCAAGTGTTTATAGAGAGGATCTTCTGTGTTATGAAACACACTGGCACATCGATTTAAGTGGGCAATGTATAAACATAAAATTGTTATTGCGTTCGATATAGATAGAAATGTTGATGAGAATGATCACTTATATGACGTTGGCATATTAATAATGGTAATGATTATTAGTGCAATATTTGACCATCTCAATAATACATTGTGATGTATATCATGACTGACTTCCGAGCTCCTTCAGGGGTCTTAAGGACCCACTTACATAGTAGCAACGAAGCAAACGTGCCTATCACATTGAAATTTACATTTTCATGTGCTCCATTTTTTCGTGTTTCACGAAGAATAATATACCTTTAGTTTCAAATAGATTGTGAGACCTTTTGAAAAGTACATTCGAAAGTGCGAAACGTTGGAGTGTTATTAACCAACACCTCTGCACTTTCAAGACAAATATTCCGTGTTTTTGTAGGAGCTCATATTATCAACGAACAAGTAGAGATAAACAGATTGAATTTAGTTATATTTTCGAGGCATTTCTATTTTATTCTCAGTTGAGATAGAATCTGTAACATGTCCCTAAACCAATGTTGACGTCGTGACAAAGAAATAGCCGTTATTGACTGACCCAGAAAAACACGTACAAATACCTAACCTGTATCAGGGGGTCCCAGG